ATCACAAAAGCACACAGTCACCAGGAACCAGTTCAGGGTCATACTCACAAGTCCCCAGGACAGCTACCACCTTACATCCTCCTCACACCTCCCAGCCAGTGAGAAAAAAATCCATCTCAAGACCAGGTCCCTTTTGTGAAGTCCTGCAGCCAGTTTCAGGCCCCTTGCAGCTCCCCAGCCATGTGGCCTCAAAGAACAGCAGCATAATCCAAGGTTTGCGTCAGAGGGGCATCAGCTCCCCCTAAGGCTGGGAACTCTCCTTGCTGTGGAAAGATAATCTGTCCAGGGTTGCAGACTATTTGACAACTGCTCAGTCAATATCTGGGCACACCTCCCCAGGGATTGGCTAAGCCCTGATCAGTATTCAGACTGGCTATTTGAATCCCTCCATATGCTCTAGAACAATGATCTCCAAACTGTGGCCCAGGGGCACGATTCCTCCCACTGACAGCAAGGATGGGACACTATACCTCCCACTGAAACCAATGATGGGGCACTATTCCTCCCACTGACACCAATGATGGGGCACTATTCCTCCCACTGACACTAACGATGGGGCACTATTCCTCCCACTGACACCAATGATGGGGCACTATTCCTCCCACTGACACCCAATGATGGGACACTATTCCTCCACTGAAACCAATGATTGGGCACTGTTCCTCCACTGACACCACTGATAGGGCACTATTCCTCCTACTGACACTAATAATGGGACACTATACCTCCCACTGATACCAATCATGGGACACTATTCCTCCCACTGACACCAATGATGGGGCACTATTCCTCCCACTGACACCAATGATGGGGCACTATTCCTCCCACTGACACCAATGATGGGGCACTATTCCTCCCACTGACACCAATGATGGGGCACTATTCCTCCCACTGACACCAATGATGGGGCACTATTCCTCCCACTGACACCAATGATGGGGCACTATTCCTCCCACTGACACCAATGATGGGGCACTATTCCTCCCACTGACACCAATGATGGGGCACTATTCCTCCCACTGATACCAATGATGGGGCACTATTCCTCCCACTGATACCAATGATGGGGCACTATTCCTCCCACTGACACCAATGATGGGGCACTATTCCTCCCACTGATACCAATGATGGGGCACTATTCCTCCCACTGACACCAATGATGGGGCACTATTCCTCCCACTGATACCAATGATGGGGCACTATTCCTCCCACTGACACCAATGATGGGACACTATTCCTCCCACTGATACCAATCATGGGACACTATTCCTCCCACTGACACCAATGATTGGGCACTATTTTTACACTCTCTATAGTACACCACCCCCAGTCCCTAGATTAACTTCTCTTTACCCAGCAATCTGGAGGTATCCCTGAACAGGGGATCCAGTTCCTGTCACTTTAAGAGATGAACAGTCACTAGCAAGTGGTTATTCTGGTTTTCCACCAGCGTGCTCCTTCCCCTATCCACCCAGGGGGTGTACTCATTCAGATCCTCTCCTGTACTGCTTGTGGGTTGGTAGCTGCTATCAGCTGGGCCTCTGCCATACAGGTAGTCCTCTCTCAGGGGGCCGGTGAGCTCTGAGCTTTCCTCCTTTCCAGCTCCAGGCCTGCAGGTAGGCCACATCCACTGTGCCTCCTCCCAGCCTCCCTGCTTCAGCCTCACATTCTCCTCTGTCTTCCACCCAAACTCTCTTGCTACTGAGCAGGCTCCAACACGTTTAAGGGTGCCCCAGCCTCTTGCCAACCTTCTATTGGGGATTGGCTAGGATCCCTTAAAATTGCAACTAGCCACTCCTCAGATCCACCCGCTGCCTCCAGGGCTTTCCTCCAATAGCCCTAGAGCAGGAAGAAATTCCAGAAGGGTTGGTCTGCACAGCCTCTAAGCTCTGACCACAATTTGACCCCTCTCTAGCTATTACACCTAGGCTGCTACTCAGCCTCTATCTAACCATTGAAGTCTATCTCCCCTAGTTACCTAGGAGGGCGCTACACAACGATGATGGAGTGGTCTACTCCCACTGGCAGCAGGACATTTTCTACTCCCAAAGGCTACAGTCTAGCCCCCTGTGTAAGGGAATTCCTGTATGGCAACTGAAGCATAGAAATGCGCATGCGTGCAACATCGCGCATAGAAATAAGCAAGGGTGCATTGCTAATAACAATGAGCATAGGCTTGCGCATGTGCAAAAGAATGTGGGTGCAAGCACACAGGAGTGTGCCCACAGTTTCTGGGCACCAGATGGACTATTTAAAGGAGGCTCTTACTCTATGTCAGTGCTGACTGGTGTTCAGCTCATTCCCTGTGTCCTGCTGTATCCTGTGTGTATCTGTTACTGACCCGGCTTGCCATTGACCTGCTCTTGGATTCTGTTTATGCGTCTGCTCATCGGTTTCTGATCCTGGCTTCCTCCTGACCTCGCCCCTGTCTGATGTTCCGGTACCTCATCGCCTGCTCGTTTCTGACCCTGGCTATTACTCTTACTACGCTTCCGGCTCCAGTTTGGCTCTACAGTCCTGCCGAGTACTTGTCCTGACTATCTATTATATCAGCTCCGGTTGTCACGGCTCATGCTTATCAGAAGTTCCGGCAAGCCACGTACCCAGATCTTGCAATTCCAGTGGAGTGCTTCCTTAACCTCAGCTGGCCATTCCGGCATCTCCTCTGTTCCTGACTGGATGCCCTGCTTGATTCACTGAGGGTACACCTCCAGCCGCAAGTTTTGCAATCAAACTCGTGTTTCTCCTGTCCCTCAGCACCATCTGTTCACCTTCAGTGGGGCATGGACCGGGAGATACAAGAGAGGCTGACCTCGTCAATTCAGACTTCTATCAGGTATGTGACACCCTGTCTGAAAAACTGTAAACTGGCCCTTTGTTTAGAAAGTTTAGAGACCCTGCTGTAAAAGCCTCTTCTAGAGGCAGGGAGAGAAGCAATCAAACCCAGCACAAAAAATGGCCCCTGCCCTGTCTACAACTGGCCTTCACAGCAAGGAGCACATGGATGGGCAACGCATGTCAAACAACAAAAAAGAAAAATTCCCAGCTCAGCTTGCCAACCAGCCTGCAAACAAACCGAATTAACCTGTCTAACAGTATGCGTTAAAAACATTGGTTTAGTTAGCACACATTTGCAAATACATGCGTAAGCAACAGAGCCTCGTCATGGCACCCCGGTGTTCTGTAGTTCCTAACTCTACAAATTTTTATAGCCCCCCATAGTAGAGTCACATGTATTTAATGGATAGACCAGGTGGACCTGAGGAGCCCACCCCTCCTTAAAGGTACAGAAGCGCACTGGACACCCAGCATGTAGCACAATGGCAGCTAAGGTGTCCAGTGGGCCCCCTCACCAACAATTCAGCAGTACAAAAAATTACCACTTGCCCGGTCTATAACTGACCTTCACAGCAAGGAGCACATGGAAGGGCGACGTATGTCAAGCAACAAAAGACAAAAATTCCCGGCTCAGCTTGCCAGCCAGCTTGCGATAACCCTGACCAGACCAGGCAAAGCATTTACTGATCCCTTGATTACAGAAGGAACCAAAAACAAAATTTACCTAGCAGCCTAACCAGCAGGATGCTGCATCTGAATGTTTTTTCTACTAGACATAAACCTCATCTTCTATGGAGAAAAAAAAAGATGTAATGTGAACAAATGGCTGTGTTCTCACGCTACTATTGGTTAAAGTGATACTAAAGGGTTTTTTTTTTTCAATAAAAATAACAAATATGTCATACTTGCCTGCTGTGTGCATTGGCTTTGAACCAGGGGTGGACTGACTATTGGGGTACTCGGGCACTGCCCGAGGGTCCAGGGTCAGTAGGGGACCCCATGAGATGTCCCTGGTACCTTTCATAGGCTTTTTTGGGTGTGGTTTGAGTGTGGGTGAGGACACAGGGGGCCCCATGATCCCCTATTGCCGGGGGCCCCATTAGTTGTCAGTCCGCCCCTGCTTTGAACAAAGCAGCCTCAATCCTTCTTTTCCTGGGTCCCCTCAATGGGGCTCCTGGCTCCTCCCTCCCTGCTGAGTGCTCCCAGAGCAAGCTTTTTGCTCTGGGCGCACTTGTGCATGCTAGCTCCCGAGTCCAATTCTGTCCATAGACACACAAAGCAAAGCTCAGTCCCGCCCGCCACTGTCTCTGACAGCAGAGGGAGCCAATGAGGAGCCCACTGCTGTCTCTGAGCCAATGAGGAAGGAGAGAGCCGCTGCTCTCATGCACATCCCTGGATCAAGATCAGGCTCAGATAAGTAATGCGGGGGGGGCTGGAGGGGAGCTGCACATAGAATATCTGAAGGTTAAAAACCTTCATCTTTAGAACCACTATGGAGTGAGGATACAATGGGAAGCCGCTTTCCACGCTTGCAGCCAATAGTTTCTGTTGTACAGTTTATTCCAAAATCGCAAGTATTTTTTTTTTTACATGGAAATAATTTTTAAAACTATAAATTTGACGACTTTAGACAACATCCAAACAATGCCTCTGTGTGCATTTGTGTAGTGTATTGTGGGTCGTTGTTTGATTATTAGGATGGCAAAGTACACATAAGACGTTTGTTACTGTACATACTACAGAAATGTGCTGCAGCTTTCCAGGGGCACAAATACAGTGTGCAGCCAAAAGTTAGTAGGCACCCTTCCAAATGATTAAATCCAGGTGTTTCCCGTGTACTGTACTATTAATACTACAGCAGACAAAGACTTTGTACACAATTGCGCTCTTCAAACCTTGTGGTAACGGTTTCGGAGAAGACTCTTTTTCTGTTCCGGCATGACTGTGCCCCTGTGTGCAAAGCCAGCTCCATAAAGACATTGGTGTGACCAGTTTGGTGTGGAGGAACTATCCCTCACAGAGCCCAGACCTCAACCCTACTGAACACTTTTGTATTTCAATGGTTTTTATTAATTGATAACACATTAACCACTTCCAGTCCGAACACTTCCCCCCCCTTCCAGTCCGGACACTTTCCCCCCCCCCCCCTTCCAGTCCGGACACTTTCACCCCCTTCCATTCCGGACACTTTCCCCCCCTTCCAGTCCAGACACTTTCCCCCCCTTCCAGTCCGGACACTTTCCCCCCTTCCAGTCCGGACACTTTCCCCCCCTTCCAGTCCGGACGCTTTCCCCCCCCTTCCAGTCCGGACACTTTCCCCCCCTTCCAGTCCCGACGCTTTCACCCCCCCTTCCATTCCGGACACTTTCCCCCCCTTCCATTCCGGACACTTTCCCCCCCTTCCATTCCGGACACTTTCCCCCCCTTCCATTCCGGACACTTTCCCCCCTTCCAGTCCGGACGCTTTCCCCCCCCTTCCAGTCCGGATGCTTTCACCCCCTTCCAGTCCGGACACTTTCCCCCCCTTCCAGTCCGAGCGCTTTCCCCCCCTTCCAGTCCGGACACTTTTTTCCCCACTTCCAGTCCAGACACTTTCCCCCCCTTCCAGTCCGGACACTTTCCCCCCTTCCAGTCCGGACACTTTTCCCCCCCTTCCAGTCCGGACACTTTCCCCCCTTCCAGTCCGGACACTTTCCCCCCCTTCCAGTCCGGACACTTTCCCCCCTTCCAGTCCGGACACTTTCCCCCTTCCAGTCCGGACACTTTCACCCTCTTCCAGTCCGGACACTTTCCCCTCCTTCCAGTCTGGACACTTTCCCCCCCTTCCATTCCGGACACTTTCACCCCCTTCCAGTCCGGACACTTTCACCCCCCTTCCAGTCGGACGCTTTCCCCCCCTTCCAGTCGGACACTTTCCCCCCCTTCCTGATCAGGGCAATTTTCAGGTTTCAGCGCTATCACACTTTGAATGACAATTGTGCGGTCATGCAACACTGTACCCAAATTAATTTTTTACCATTTTTTTGAGACAGATAAAGCTTTTATTTTGGTGTATTTATTCACCGCTGGGATTTTTTATTTTTCTTTCTATGTAAATGAAAAAGTCCAAAAATTTTGAAAAAAAGTGTTTTTTTTTTTTATAAAATTTTGCAAATAAATAATATTTCATCATAAATCTTTGCCAAAATTTATTCTGTTATCTTTTTAGTAAAAAAAAAATCCAAATTAGTTTATAACCAAAAATTATAATTTTTAAATATTTTTTTTTTACATTTTTATTTTATTTTTTTATATTATTTTTTTTTTTTTTTTTTTTTACATACTGTCACCTAGCAGTACAGTGTCACCATGATGACACTGTACTACTTGAGGGGGGTGATGAAGATTTTTTTTTTTTTTTTTTTTTTTTTTAACGCATTGCTTTTTACACCCATATAGGATGTAAAAGCAATCATTTCTCTTTCTCTCTGTCTGCATTCTTGCATTCATTGAGAAGTACTGAGTGAGCTGTGATTGGTCACAGCTTGTCACATGGTACAAGCCTGTTGTGAATAGCCTTGTACCATGTGACCTCTGTGATCATTCACAGATTTCACACGTAGTAAGCAATGATGTCACAAGTGACATCTTGCTTACTACTTTGCATGTGATCACTGATTGGCCAATCAGTGATCACATGATCGGGACCTCGTACAGAGGTCCCGTCCGACGATCGGTGTTTCACTGTGTCCGGAGGACACAGCGGGCACCGGATCGCGGTGCTGCGCACAAGCAGGGTGCGGGGAGGCCGTTTATAAACGGCCACCCGACTCTGCACTGCCACCGTCCAGCCGTTTATATGCAACGGCCGGTCGGGAAGTGGTTAATACAGAAGCAACAAATCACGCCAGGGGCTATCAATTGCACATAGAGGAACTAGAAATGAGAGAAATCAGTGCTCTAACACCAACAGGGCAAAAGATACGCCCAGGCAGGGGCCATCAATGGCACTTAAATAACAAAACATAAATATAACACTGATAATAACTCAGACTAAAGGCAACTATCCACTGCCACACCAAAGCAAACAGAGAAAAAAAAGGGGGGAAAGGAAGGAGAAGTACAAAAGAAAAAAGGATCGCCAATCCAAGAACGCCAAAGTCGAACAACATCACATCCCCAGAGGCTGGCCGGGGGAGCATGGGAAAGGTATATTGCAACCACGGCTCCCATATTTTCTAGAATTTACATTGGGAGTCATTGCAGATACTCGACATCTGTTCATTGAGCATCATAGTGGTCATACGATCCGCACCCCTTGAAGAGGGATAAACGGGCTCCTCCAGGCCTGAGCAATTGTTCTAGAGGCCGACAAAAACAAATAGGAAGCCAACTTCTGCTGGTGAGCCAAGAGGCCTGGTATGGGACAATGAAGCAAGGCGTACCGGGTATACCGGCGTATAGAAAAGATGGAACAAGGTGAAAAGGAGGCCAAACACACGAGACCAAAAACGAAGCAGCCTCGGGCATGACCACCAGATATGCAATACATCACCATACATGGCCACAACCCTGAAAGCATCGATCACTGCAGGCAGGGTTAGCCCGGGCCAACCGAGCCGGAACCCAATACCAACAAAACAACACCTTGTAGGCCGCCTCCAGCGTGGTCATATTAAAAGAGCATTTAGCTACAAGCATCCAGGCCCTTTTCCAGTCCTCCGGATCCACAACCACTCCCAGGTTGCGCTTCTACTGAACACTTTTGCAATGATTTGGATTGCTGATTGTGATCAGGGTCTTCTTATCCAACATCAGTACCTGACCTCCCAAATGGTCACATATTCTGGCAGACACTCTCTTTTACCTTGTGTATAGCCCTCCTAGTGTCCTAGAAGAACAGAGGCTGCTAAAGCCTTGTAAGTAACTTTATATTAATGATCATGGTTTTGGAATAAGATGTCTAAAAAGCTCATATAGGTAACAATTTGGTGAAGAGCCTTTTCTGTTTACATCATAACTGTGCCCCTGTGTACAAAGCCATCTCCATAAAGACATGAATGACCCTGCTGAATAGCTTTGGTATGAATTGGAACGCTGATTGCGAGCCAGAACTTCTCATCCATTATCAGTTACTGACCTCACAAATGGAAACAAATTCCCACAGACACCCTTCAGAATCTTGTGGAAAGTCTTTTCTAGAAGAGTGAAAGCTGCTAGATCCACAAAAAGGGAACTAACTCTATTATTCATGGTCATGGTTTTGGAATGAGATATCCAATAAGCTCGTATGGGTAACAGTTTGGTGAAGACCCTTTTCTGCTCCACCATGACAGTTCCCTGTGTACAAAGCCAGCTCCATAAAGACATGAATGACACACAATGCTGATGACAAACAAATCTATCTTTCTACTCCTCCTCACCCCTTCAGACTCCTCTCGCATTACTAGCCTACTAAGTGACATATCGGCATGGATGTCACTCCACTTCCTCAAACTCAACCTTTCCAAAAACTGAGCTCCTACTATTCCCTCCAGCCCGTGCCCCTCCCCTGACTTCTCCATCAAGATCAATAACACAACCATCAGTCCCTCCCCTCATGCCAGGGTACTAGGTGTAATTCTTGACTCCCATCTTTCCTTTCAGCCTAAATCCAATCGCTGTCCAAATCTTGTAGACTTCACCTCCGCAACATCTCCAACCTCTGCAACATCTCCAAGATACACCCATTCTTAACCTCAGAAACTACTAAGCAACTTATTCCCTCCTTGTTATATCTCGCCTTGACTATTGTAACTCCCTCCTCATTGGTTGACCTCATTGCAGGCTATCCCCTCTTCAGTCTATCATGAATGCTGCTGCCAGACTCATCCACCACTAACCGTTCCATATCTGCCACCCCTCTCTGCCAATCCCTCCATTGACCTTCACTCAGTGTCCTCCACCCCTCTCTGCCAATCCCTCCACTGACCTTCACTCAGTGTCCTCCACCCCTCTCTGCCAATCCCCCCACTGGCCTCCACTCAGTGTCCTCCATCCCTCTCTGCCAATCCCTCCACTGACCTCCACTCAGTGTCCTCCACCCCTCTCTGCCAATCCCTCCACTGACCTTCACTCAGTGTCCTCCAGCCCTCTCTGCCAATCCCTCCACTGGCCTCCACTCAGTGTCCTCCATCCCTCTCTGCCAATCCCTCCACTCAGGGTCCTCCACCCCTCTGCCAATCCCTCCACTGGCTTCCCATTGCCCAACGGATAAAATTAAAAACAATAACAATCACATATAAAGCCATTTATAACTCCGCCCCAAATTACTCACCAATTTTGTCTCCAAATATCACCCAAACCATACTGTCCGCTCCTCCCACGACCTCCTGCACTCTAGCTCCCTTGTCTCCTCCTCCCATGCTCATCTCCAGGACTTCTCCAGAGATCTGATGAAATATAAAAAACTAAAAAATGATGTAGCGCTAAACCCAAAACGATCATATCAGGCCCATAAACAATCTAACATCATGATAAGATCATATATATATATATATATATAGAGAGAGAGGGCAAATTAGTGCGTGATGAAACTGAAAAAAATGAGATGAAACAGATGTGCAACCCCTGCACACAGTGCACATAAATAAATAAAAGTCCAGTGATCCTGTGTCAATTTCCTCCACTCATACAGAATCCATGGACTGTGTGTGGACCCGCACACCACCAAGTGCAATCCAAAAACGGCTGGAATGGCCTCTCACCTCCTCCCTGCGACCCTGCAGGGCCACAGAGCTTTTTAAATCCCCACTGAATCAGGATGAGCTTCCCCTTCCCCAGTATACTGCTTCCACCTCTCCGTCACTCTCTATGCGATCACTGATGGGTTCCCCTGCACTGTACAAAGCCATACATTGTGCACAGCTCTCCCCTGTCAAGCAGTACTCTGTCAGCAGTGATCGCATAGAGAGTGACGGAGAGGTGGAAGCAGTATACTGGGGATACATCATTGAAGCCATCCACTCAAGGGGAAGCTCATCCTGATTCAGTGGGGATTTAAAAAGCTCTGTGGCCCTGCAGGGTCGCAGGGAGGAGGTGAGAGGCCATTCCAGCCGTTTTTGGATTGCACTTGGTGGTGTGCGGGTCCACACACAGTCCATGGATTCTGTATGAGTGGAGGAAATTGACACAGGATCACTGGACTTTTATTTATTTATGTGCACTGTGTGCAGGGGTTGCACATCTGTTTCATCTCATTTTTTTCAGTTTCATCACGCACTAATTTGCCCTCTCTTCTATATATATATATATATATATATATATATGATCTTATCATGATGTTAGATTGTTTATGGGCCTGATATGATCGTTTTGGGTTTAGCGCTACATCATTTTTAGTTTTTTATATTTCATCAGATCTTTGGGTATTGGATCAGATGTTAGCAGCTTCACACGTATATTTATTGTTTTTTCTGCATAAGAGCGCAAGTAGATTTTGCATATTATTTTGTCAGGACTTCTCCAGAGCCTCCCCCATCCTCTGGAACTCTCTACCCCAATTTATCAGACTATTGCCTACTCTGCTCACTTTTAGGCGATCTCTGAAAATCTCTCTCTTCAGGGAAGCCTATCCTGCCCTCAGCTAATAATGGAATCTACTATTCCTTCTACAAATCCATTCCTCACAGTTACTACCTTTTGTACCACCAGCCCCTCCCTCCTAGATTGTAACCTCCAAGGATCAGGGCCCTCCTAACCCTCTTGTATTGAACTGTATTGTTGCTGTATTGTCTCCCGTTATATTGTAAAGTGCTGAGCAAACTGTTGGCGTCATATAAATCCTGTATAATAATAATGGATGACTAGTTTGGTGTGGAGGAACTCAAGTGTCTTGCACAGAGTCTGGACCTCAACCCTACTGGACACCTTTGGGAGGATTTGGAATGCCAATTGTGAGCCAGGTCTCCTCATCCAACATATCGGCACCTGACTTCACAAACGGGCACAAATACCCACAGACACTCCCTAAAGCCTTGTGGAAAGTCATCTTAGAAGAGCAGAAGCTGCTAGAGCCACAAAGAGGGAGCTGGAAAGCCTTCCCAGAAGAACCTATTATGTTTAGTCTACATTTGCGGTTGAAGTGCAGTAAAGAGGCAGCTGCATGATGTGTACAAATGGCAAGGAAATCATGCTTTGGGTGCCACCAAATGTGACATATTCAAGTGAATGGGGCTGTGCTGCAATGGGGGGGGGGGGGGGGCTAACACTAAGGTCACCTTTGCACCATGTTATTCCCATGCAAACATCCCATTTATATGTAAAAAAAAAACAGGCATTCAGAAGTTGACAATATCACCTCCTGAATGCCTGTCAGTGCCAGGGCTTTTTTTCAGCAGGAATGGAGGGAAAATCCGCGGCCTCCAACACTGAATGTTTGTAATGGCAAGGGGTGCTGGGGTGTGCTGAAAGATCTATTGACGCTGGCTGCTAGGGGATCTGTTGTTACTGGAGGGGATCTATTTTTTGCACAGTGGTCTATTTTTGCTGGGGAGGTCTGTTGTTGATGGCTGGGGATCTATTGTTGCTGGAAGTGGTCTACTGTTGTAGGAGGGGTTTATTGTTGTTGGCTGCTTGAGAGCCTATAGATGCTGGTTGCGTGGGGATCTGTTGTTGCTACTGGGGGTCTATTGTTGACAGAGGGGGGTCTATTGCTACTGGCTGCAGGGAGTTTATTTTACTGCTTTTCTTGTTCTCATTACCACCTTCCATACAAATTACTTAATGATCACAAAATGATAATTGACTCTGTATTCTGTACAAGGATCTGTACTGGGAGGTGGGTAGGGTGTGGAACCAAGGGACTGTGCTCGAGGATGGGTGGGGGCAAAGACTAGAAGTGATTCAGAAGGGAGGAGTTCCTGCATCTATTTCTTTGAGGAAAAAAGCCTTGGTCACCACGCATGCACCGTTCTGTGAAAAGCGATTCCCGTGGATTGTGAATGCGGGTCCTGGGAGAGCGGATATAGTGAATGGGGGGTCCCAGGGAGAGCAGATATAGTGAATGCGGGGTCCTGGGATAGCGGATATAGTGAATGCAGGGTCTGGGGAGAGCGGATATAGTGAATGGGGGTCCGGGGAGAGCGGATATAGTGAATGCGGGGTCCGGGGAGAGCGGATATAGTGAATGGGGGGGTCCGGGGAGAGCGGATATAGTGAATGCGGGGTCCGGGGAGAGCGGATATAGTGAATGCAGGGTCCCGGGGAGAGCGGATATAGTGAATGCAGGGTCCGGAGAGAGCGGATATAGTGAATGCGGGGTCCGGGGAGACCAGATTTAGTGAATGCAGGGTCCGGGGAGAGCGGATATAGTGAATGCAGGGTCCGGGGAGAGCGGATATAGTGAATGCACGGTCCGGGGAGAGCGGATACAGTGAATGCGGGGTCCAGGGAGAGCGGATATAGTGAATGCAGGGTTCGGGGAGAGCGGATATAGTGAATGCAGGGTTCGGGGAGAGAGCGGATATAGTGAATGCAGGGGTCCAGGGAGAGCGGATATACAGTGATATGCGGGGACCTGGAGAGAGCGGATATAGTGAATGCGGGGTCCGGGGAGAGAGCGGATATAGTGAATGCGGGGTCCGGGGAGAACGGATAAAGTGAATGTGGGGTCCGGGGAGAGCGGATATAGTGAATGCGGGGTCCGGGGGAGAGCGGATATAGTGAATGCAGGGTCTGGGGAGACTGGATATAGTGAATGCAGGGTCCGATTGGTGGGAGAGCGGATATAGTGAATGCAGAGTCCGGGAAGAGCGGATATAGTGAATGCAGGGTCCAGGGACACCGGATATAGTGAATGCAGGGTCTGGGGAGACTGGATATAGTGAATGCAGGGTCCTGGGAGAGCGGATATAGTGAATGCAGAGTCCGGGAAGAGTGGATATAGTGAATGCAGGGTCAGGGGGAGAGCGGATATAGTGAATGCGGGGTCCGGGGAGAGCGGATATAGTGAATGTGGGGACCGGGGGAGAGCGGGATATAGTGAATGTGGGGTCCGGGGGGAGAGCGGATATAGTGAATGCGGGGTCCGGGGAGAGCGGATATAGTGAATGCGGGGTCCGGGGAGAGCGGATATAGTGAATGCGCGGGGGTCTGGGGAGAGTGGATATAGTGAATGCGGGGTCTAGGGAGAGCGGATATAGTGAATGCGGGGTCCAGGGAGAGCGGATATAGTGAATGCAGGGTCCGAGGAGAGCGGATATAGTGAATGCGGGGTCCAGGGGAGAGCGGATATAGTGAATGCGGGGTCCGGAGAGAGCGGATATAGTGAATGCGGGGTCCGGGAGAGCGGATATAGTAAATGCGGGGTCCGGGGAGAGCGGATATAGTGAATGCGGGGTCCGGGGAGAGCGGATATAGTGAATGCGGGGTCCGGGGAGAGCGGATATATTGAATGCGGGGTCCGGGGAGAGCGGATATAGTGAATGCGGGGTCCGGGGAGAGGAGCGGATATAGTGAATGCGGGGTCCGGGGGAGAGCGGATATAGTGAATGCAGGGTCTGGGGGAGAGCGGATATAGTGAATGCGGGGGTCGGGGGGAGAGCGGATATAGTGAATGCAGGGTCTGGGGAGAGAGCGGATATAGTGAATGCGGGGTCCGGGGAGAGCGGATATAATGAATGCAGAGTCCGGGGAGACCACATATAGTGAACGCGGGGTCCGGGGAGAGCGGATATAGTGAATGCGGGGTCCGGGGAGACCACATATAGTGAACGCAGGGTCCTAGATTTAGTAACACTTTAAGCCTGCAGTACATGTGATCTCTCTTTATACTTTTTATTGTAATGCATTCTTTGATGTTGGAGTTTATGACATCTGTAGCCGTTACATAGAAATGCTTCATTGTCTTCACAATTCCACATATTGTCACTTTGATAAATGAAGTCTTTATGTTGTTAATCTTGTGAAAGGTTTCATTGCCAGAGTACGTGGTCAATATTTGCCGTTGCATTTCCTTGGAAGGACCAAGCCTATTTGATACATATTTGGGAAGTTTTGTTGGGTGAGCGAGGTTATCGAGGGAAGAAAGATTTGTACCTTTTGTTCCCCGGGGCTAAACGCTTTACTGTGTATTTCTGTTCCAAATGTCTCCTTATGCATTGACAGTCCTCCTGAGACCCCAGTCTGTGTGGACAATGTGGTCACCTGCTGACTTCCAACCATCCACAGGTTGGAAGAGTAAAGGGTTTAAAGAGTAACTCCACTCTTGTTGAAAAAAAAAAGAAACCCCCCCCCCCCCCCCTGGGTGATCTCGGTACATTGCACGGATTTTAACAAACTTTGTTGCAGATTCCCGCCTAACTCCGTTCCATCACCTCAAGCACTGCAAGGGGTGGTGGGGATCTATTGTCACTGAGAGGGATCTATTGTTGCAGGGGGGTCTATAATTACTAAGGAGGTTTGTTTGTTGTTGCTCCTGGGGGATCTATTGCTGCAGGGGAGATCTATTGTTGCTGGTGGGGGATGTATTGCTGGGAGGATTGTATGTTGCTGGGGAAGTCTTATTTTACTGGAAGGGATCTACTGAGGGGGGGGGGGCTATTGTTGCTGGCTGCTGGAGAGTCTATTAATACTTGTTGTTGCTGGCAGAGGATCTATTGTTACTGGGATACATTTTTTTTTTTGCTGGGATGTTTTATTGTTGGGGGGTGTATTGTTGCTGGGGAGTCTATTGTTAGGGGATCAATTCTTGGGGGGTTTATTGTTTTTGGGATATCTATTTTTGGGGGTCTAGTGTTGCAGGGGGGTCTATTGTTATGGTTATCTGTTGTTGCTGGGTAGGGTTATATTACTGCTGGGGGGTCTATTGCTGGGGGGGTCTATTGTTGCTGGGGGGGGGGGTGTATTGTTGCTGGGGAGTCTATTGTTGCTGGGGTGGGGGGTGTATTGTTGCTGGGGAGTCTATTCTATCATTGCTGGGGAGGTCTATTGCTGTTGATGGGTCTATTGTTGCTTGGGCTTATATTGTTCATGGGGGGTTTATTGCTGTTGAGGAGGGTCTATTGTTGCTGGCTGGCCATACACTATACAATTTTCTGCCCAATTTCCTTTAGATTTACCTTCAACTTTGTAGTGCAAGAGCGGCCTAATTGGATACAATTGAAAAGTGTTGTTAGTTTTGACCTCCTATTATATGATTTTTGGTAAATCTAAACCAAAAATTTCAAGAAAATTGTATAAATGTATGGCCAGTCTAAGATCAGATCAGTCCGGCTCAATCACAGGTGTACAAGTATCATTGGTGTACAGATTGGAGTGAAGGCTGACAGCCTAATATTATATGGTTGAAGAGCAACTAAACCAGTGTTATTAAATCAACTCAGTCCACATACACTTTATATATTAGTGTGTATATACAGGGGGGGGGGGGTTGTTCCCCTGAGTGTATATATCTTGTATCTGTGTTAAAACAAAGTAGTCTATTTTCTGGTTTACTTCAAGACTGGTGTTGTCTAGTCTTGTATGGTCTGCTGTGGTGTCTGTGGTCGGTGTTCGGACGGGGAAGCAGTATCCTAACGAAAATACTCAGCGCAGGCTGGGACGGTTCCGTTACAAAAATAATAACCTCTTCACGCCAGCCGCATTGCAAATGTGCGGCCTCCCGGCATCTGGGCCTTGATGTCGAGTGGCCGCACATTTGTGTGCAATTAAAAAAACATGTGCTGAGAGCACATGTCCGGTACTAACGGAAAGGTCCCGATCTCCTCTTTCGATCTGGACCTTTCCCGATCATGTGACCGCCATGACGGCGAATTACGGCAGTCACATGACCTTTAAACCCCGCCTCCTGAAACCCTTAAAGGGCCGGGAGGCGCTGGCGCCAAGGGGTTAAAGTAAAGGTATGGAGCTTCGCATACATGCTAAATGAACAATATTCCGGCTGTAATATAAACATACAAAGACATAAAGTGTTATAGATCAGCAAGTCCAAAAAACAAAAAGTCCCACACCAACTTGTAGATCAGAAACCGCGCATATTCTTCTAGTGCCTAGCAGGTTGTCTTAATGCAAATCCTCTGTGCTCCACCATCGCGTGCCAATACATTGCACTCACCGACCATCCATGGCCCTCTTCATTGAAAGGAGGTCTAATGTGCTTGTGTCCCCAAGGCTTTGGAACATCGATGGATATCCTCTCAATATTCTCCCAATTTACTCCACAATCCAAGATCATTATAAATCAGAAAGAGAAATTTCTCATAGTGTGGTATTAATTTAGTCGAGGACTGAATTGTCCAGATTGCTTTATCTGTTCCTGTCCTAATTTATGATGCTGGTTTGCTCTGGAATGTGCGCACATAAAGAAACTCACACGTTTGGTCTGTGAAAACTTCTCTCTAATTTATTGAAATGAAACCGTGAGTTTATATATGAAAAACGATGCGAACAGAATCACATGATAACAGCATAAGCATTATATTAGTCTTTGATTGGTCACTTTACACGAAAACAATCTCCATCATGGTATAAGGTGTGATCTTCTTCCAAGTCTTATCTTAAAGAAAGAAAAAAACATTCCTTTGTCTTCCAAATCAGACGATGGGAGGGGGGTCTGTGCTTGTGAGCAAACATTTCTTAAGAAAAAAGGATTTCTTAAAGTACCACAAAGCCCAGAAAAAAAAAAAAAAAAAAAAAAAAAAAAAAAAAAAAAAAAAAAAAAAAAAAAAAAAAAAAAAAAAAAAAAAAAAAAAAAAAAAAAAAAAAAAAAAAAAAAAAAAAAAAAAAAAAAAAAAAAAAAAAAAAAAAAAAAAAAAAAAAAAAAAAAAAAAAAAAAAAAAAAAAAAAAAAAAAAAAAAAAAAAAAAAAAAAAAAAAAAAAAAAAAAAAAAAAAAAAAAAAAAAAAAAAAAAAAAAAAAAAAAAAAAAAAAAAAAAAAAAAAAAAAAAAAAAAAAAAAAAAAAAAAAAAAAAAAAAAAAAAAAAAAAAAAAAAAAAAAAAAAAAAAAAAAAAAAAAAAAAAAAAAAAAAAAAAAAAAAAAAAAAAAAAAAAAAAAAAAAAAAAAAAAAAAAAAAAAAAAAAAAAAAAAAAAAAAAAAAAAAAAAAAAAAAAAAAAAAAAAAAAAAAAAAAAAAAAAAAAAAAAAAAAAAAAAAAAAAAAAAAAAAAAAAAAAAAAAAAAAAAAAAAAAAAAAAAAAAAAAAAAAAAAAAAAAAAAAAAAAAAAAAAAAAAAAAAAAAAAAAAAAAAAAAAAAAAAAAAAAAAAAAAAAAAAAAAAAAAAAAAAAAAAAAAAAAAAAAAAAAAAAAAAAAAAAAAAAAAAAAAAAAAAAAAAAAAAAAAAAAAAAAAAAAAAAAAAAAAAAAAAAAAAAAAAAAAAAAAAAAAAAAAAAAAAAAAAAAAAAAAAAAAAAAAAAAAAAAAAAAAAAAAAAAAAAAAAAAAAAAAAAAAAAAAAAAAAAAAAAAAAAAAAAAAAAAAAAAAAAAAAAAAAAAAAAAAAAAAAAAAAAAAAAAAAAAAAAAAAAAAAAAAAAAAAAAAAAAAAAAAAAAAAAAAAAAAAAAAAAAAAAAAAAAAAAAAAAAAAAAAAAAAAAAAAAAAAAAAAAAAAAAAAAAAAAAAAAAAAAAAAAAAAAAAAAAAAAAAAAAAAAAAAAAAAAAAAAAAAAAAAAAAAAAAAAAAAAAAAAAAAAAAAAAAAAAAAAAAAAAAAAAAAAAAAAAAAAAAAAAAAAAAAAAAAAAAAAAAAAAAAAAAAAAAAAAAAAAAAAAAAAAAAAAAAAAAAAAAAAAAAAAAAAAAAAAAAAAAAAAAAAAAAAAAAAAAAAAAAAAAAAAAAAAAAAAAAAAAAAAAAAAAAAAAAAAAAAAAAAAAAAAAAAAAAAAAAAAAAAAAAAAAAAAAAAAAAAAAAAAAAAAAAAAAAAAAAAAAAAAAAAAAAAAAAAAAAAAAAAAAAAAAAAAAAAAAAAAAAAAAAAAAAAAAAAAAAAAAAAAAAAAAAAAAAAAAAAAAAAAAAAAAAAAAAAAAAAAAAAAAAAAAAAAAAAAAAAAAAAAAAAAAAAAAAAAAAAAAAAAAAAAAAAAAAAAAAAAAAAAAAAAAAAAAAAAAAAAAAAAAAAAAAAAAAAAAAAAAAAAAAAAAAAAAAAAAAAAAAAAAAAAAAAAAAAAAAAAAAAAAAAAAAAAAAAAAAAAAAAAAAAAAAAAAAAAAAAAAAAAAAAAAAAAAAAAAAAAAAAAAAAAAAAAAAAAAAAAAAAAAAAAAAAAAAAAAAAAAAAAAAAAAAAAAAAAAAAAAAAAAAAAAAAAAAAAAAAAAAAAAAAAAAATAAAAAAAAAAAAAAAAAAAAAAAAAAAAAAAAAAAAAAAAAAAAAAAAAAAAAAAAAAAAAAAAAAAAAAAAAAAAAAAAAAAAAAAAAAAAAAAAAAAAAAAAAAAAAAAAAAAAAAAAAAAAAAAAAAAAAAAAAAAAAAAAAAAAAAAAAAAAAAAAAAAAAAAAAAAAAAAAAAAAAAAAAAAAAAAAAAAAAAAAAAAAAAAAAAAAAAAAAAAAAAAAAAAAAAAAAAAAAAAAAAAAAAAAAAAAAAAAAAAAAAAAAAAAAAAAAAAAAAAAAAAAAAAAAAAAAAAAAAAAAAAAAAAAAAAAAAAAAAAAAAAAAAAAAAAAAAAAAAAAAAAAAAAAAAAAAAAAAAAAAAAAAAAAAAAAAAAAAAAAAAAAAAAAAAAAAAAAAAAAAAAAAAAAAAAAAAAAAAAAAAAAAAAAAAAAAAAAAAAAAAAAAAAAAAAAAAAAAAAAAAAAAAAAAAAAAAAAAAAAAAAAAAAAAAAAAAAAAAAAA